CCTTGACTTTTTTGGACTTCTTCATTCTGCCTGGACAACAATTCTCATATTTGTTAAGTTCTTAAATTACACATGACAATGTGTGTATTATTTTTAAAATATTAATATTTAATTATAAACTCATTTGAAAAAATAAATAGAACACATATTTATGTGTAATTAAAAAACTTAACATAACAGATATAAGTAACTTACTCATCTGGTCCTATTTATAAGTCGTTTTCAAATGTTTTTTATAGACAAAAAAAAACCTTAAATTTCATCAACTCTCATTTAAAATTCAAAAACTTTTCAACTTTATCCCTATTTAATATACATTATATTTTATATAAACAAACTCAGCATAATAATAAATGAAGGGTAACATTGTACATCCATGCAAAAAATTTCTCTCAGTGTCTTATAAATAAGACTAAAAAATATCTTCTTTCTCTGCCTTATAAACAAGATCATAGGAGTAAATGTTTTCCTTTCATATATACTCCTCTGGTCCTATTTATAAGGCGGAAAGAGAATTTTTTTTATCCTATGTCAGTTCTTTAAATTTTTAGCATGAATGTATTATTTTGTCCTTTACTTATTATAGTGTAGATAGTTATCTCTTTTGAAAAATATATATATTAAATATGGGTAGAGTTGAAAAAATTGTTATATCTTAATAGAGAGTTAATGTATTTTAAGATATTTCTTGATTTATGTGAAATATATTAAAAGTATTTTATAAATAGGATTAGAAGAGTATATATTTCTGCATGCACCGGCACGCACCACAAGGGAAATTAACAAATGAGAATGCTATTTTTTATAATCCTCTCTAGCCCAGAGATTTGGTTATTTCCCACCACAAATCTAGCGCGTTGCGGAAATTAAATAAAATAACAACGGCCCCGTGCTGCTCATAAAAGGGGACAGGATTGTAATATTAAGATCCGGCCCTTAATTAATCGTTTGTTCTTTGTTCACATTTAAGGCCAGTGTCTTTTTATTTTTGCTGAAACCAAAAGCCAAAACGCAAATGAAGTGATTTTCTCTGAGGTCAAAATCAAGTGAGAAGTTATAATTGTAATGAACCTTCTAATGGTGTAGGTTATATAATAATTATTGGTAATTTTTAATAAGATTAAGCTGCATCCAACACCCTGAAATATTTTTCGTTTAATTTGTAATGCATCCAGCACTCTAAGGTTTTTTAAGTGCATCTAGCATCCAGAAATATTTTTAGTTCATCCAGTACTAAAGCAAAAAAAAAAAATTCAAGATACTAGATGTATTTGATAAAATATTTCAGAGTGCTGAATACAATTTAATCCTTTTTAATTAATATACTACATCTAGTTCTAATTATAAAAGTTTGTTGACTAATTTGAGGAGATTAAGAAAAAAGTTAAGTTAGTTATTTGTAATAAATAGGTATTTTCTTTCCTAAAATATCCTTACTAATCAAGTGTGTTAGCTAAAATTAAAATTATTAGAAAGATTATCTTGGAAAAAATTGAGTAAATGTGAGAGACAAAATGAATTAGAATCTTATATTTAGGACTAAAATAAAAATCAAATGAGGTCTTATATTAAAAATCGAAAATAGTAATTATTAGTCGTCTTATCCTCTTAATGTTCCTCTTCTACCTTGTAGTTTAATGTTTCCAATTAGACTAGCGCTTTTGTTTCGAGCTCGTCTCTTTCATTTTAGTGTGCATGTTATTCTTATTGTTTTCCCTGTTTTCTTAATGGGGTCCAAATAACTGTAGATCATTTTATTTAGTTTTAATAAATTTTTTTATTAAAAAAAAGAGTAAGAGAAATTCACTATTTTAATAATTACATATGAAAAATAGATGACTTCATATGACCCTTAGCGGACACAAAAAGGTGGCGTAATTTTGGGGGGGGGGGGGAACAAAGGTTGGTTATGCATACATGGCATCAATTGCAGTAATTTACATATAATGCCTTTTGCTCTTTTGTTGGGGCCAACCAAGATGGTTAAAGTTACTTTTCTTATACTGTTGGAAAATGACCTGATTTTTTATGCCTAAAGGAAATGACCTGATCTTCTCATGAAAACTATATTAAGAAAAATTATTCTAAAACTCGACAATATAATCATCTTATCGTCTATCTATATATTTGTATATAATATATTAAATTTTTTTGATACAGTATAATATATTAATTCTAAAAAATGTTATTATTTTTTAGGACAATACTTACAACAAGTTATTTAAAGGGAAAATGACAATAAAATACCACCTGAATTTCAAAAAGACAAATAAGGCACCTGAATAAGCAAAATGACATATAGGGAACTGGGTACCAATCTGGAATTCAGATTTTTGGCCAAAAGACCAAATGCCCTGTCTGAAAGTGAGATGAAGGAGAGAGGAAGACACTGATGAAATACGAGAAGGAGAGAGGAGGAAGACGCTGATGAAATTGGGAAGAAGAGAGGAAGGAGAGAGGAAGACGCTGATTTTCGATGGGTTCCCACAGCTTAAAATGTTATTGCCTAGCATTTCTCTAAAAAATTTTGGTTCTGTTTCTGTTCTTCGCATAAAACCATTTTCAGAGAATGTGAAGCTGTGGGAAAGATGAAGCGAAAATCAGAAAACAATGGCAAGCAATTACGTAACGTAACTACTGTCATATGCCTGCTGGTTTTTGGTAAATCCTACTACGTGAATGGTAAATTTCACTATACATGTAGTTAATTATGAAAGTTAATAGTTCAATGTTTATTGTGACGTACTTCAAATGCACGTTCACTGAATGATTTATTTATGCTTATAAGTTGCCTTTCCGGTGAAAATAGGTTTACAAAACCCATTGAAGAAGTAGTCACTTTCACTATAAAAGTTGTAAATCCCAGTATATGTTTTGTAAAATTCAACGTGAAATTTTATTGGTTTTTACAAACAAGTTGTTTATCTCCTGAAAACATGTTGCAAAACCCATTAACAAAGTAGTCACTTTCACTACAAAAGTTGTAAATCACAATATGTATTTTGTAAAATTCATAATTAACTACATGTATAGTGAAATTTACAACCACTATAGTGAAAATGACCACTTCTTAAATGGCTTTTGCAACCAGTTTTCAGGGATGGGCAACTTGTTTCTAAAAACCAATAAAATTCCAGACTGAATTTTACAAAACACAAAATGATATTTACAACTTTTATAGTGAAAATGACCACTTCTTAAATGGCTTTTGCAACCAGTTTTCAGGGGATGGGTAACTTGTTTCTAAAAACCAATAAAATTCCATACTGAATTTTACAAAACATAAAATGATATTTACAACTTTTGTAGTGAAAATTACCACTTCTTAAATGAGTTTTGCAACCTCTTTTCAGGGGATGAGCAACTTGTTTCTAAAAATCAATAAAATTTCACACTGAATTTTACAAAACACACAGTGATATTTACAACTTTTATAGTGAAAATGACCACTTCTTAAATGGCTTTTGCAACCAGTTTTCAAGGGATAGGCAACTTGTTTGTAAAAACCAATAAAATTTCACGTTGAATTTTACAAAACATATACTGGGATTTACAACTTTTATAGTGAAAGTGACTACTTCTTCAATGGGTTTTGTAAACCTGTTTTCACCGGAAAGGCAACTTATAAGCATAAATAAATCATTCAGTGAACGTGCATTTGAAGTACGTCACAATAAACATTGAACTATTAACTTTCATAATTAACTACATCTATAGTGAAATTTACCATTCACGTAGTGGGATTTACCAAAAACCAGCAAGCATATGACAACAGTTATGTTACGTAATTGCTTGCCATTGTTTTCTGATTTCCGCTTCGGTTCACTCCCTCTCTCACTACAAATCCTCTTTCCCACAACCAAAATCAACAATCTCTACGGAATGGTGATGCGAAGGAGTAAGATAATAGCATTTCCAACATTCTTCTTTCCTTCTTCCCGCATTTCATCAGCGTCGGTCCTCCTCTCTCCTTTCTCTCACTGTGTCGGTCTTCCTCTCTCCTTTCTCTCACTTTCAGCGTCTGTCTTCCCGCATTTCATCAGGGTATTTTGGTCTTTTGGCCGAAAATATGAATTCCAGATTGGTACCCAGTGCCCTATTTGTCATTTTGCTTATTCAGGTGCCTTATTTGTCTTTTTGAAATTCAAGTGGTATTTTATTGTCATTTTCCTTTATTTAAATCTATTTTGTCAAATTTTTCAATCACACGTTACAATGTGTGTGATTCTTAAAATATTATCATTAAAATATAAACCTCACACGCCAAAAAACCAAAAGAATAGATGACAACGTATAATTAGAGAATTTGATATAAGGAATATAAGGATAAGTATTTTCTTATATTTCAAATAATAAATAATTTAATTTATTTTTGAATAAATATATCAAATTTAATATTTTTAAGTAACATTCGAGCATTATTGAATTTAATTGAAATTAATTATTTTTTTCTGCTAATGAGGTCCGGACTTTTAATTATATTTGAAAGAAATTGAAAATTTTCACTCAATTTGATCATTTTCTGTTATTACATTTTCCTTTTTTTAATGTAAAACACATGACCCCACTATTTATTGAAAAAGTAAAGTACCTTTTCTTCATGTTCCTTATATCTTTCTCAAATCATAGGCCTATCTATAGGCTACAAGGGCTGCCCAGCAATAGTTATCCTCGTAATTCATAACGGTGAACGCAGATTTTCATGTTCCACATGAGCTTTGCAGCCCAAGCCATGCAAGTTATTAAAGCGATCTAGAACCAGAAGCATTCTTCAGAGAGTTAATGTACGCGAGAAAAAAAAAAAGTGTGCCTTCAATTTCTCCTTTTAGTTTTTTTTTTTGTTGGCATTTTGGTAATGGCGTGTTATAGAGAAAAACACAATCCATGAAAATTTCCGCAATTGAATAAATCTAGCTTGTGGGGTCTGGGAAAAATCATAATTATCAATTTATCATCCTGTGGGTGGGTGCTCACGGACCAGAGAATCTCAATCTTTCTATGCTTTCTTCTTAACTTTTTGCTCGGCCATTGAATTGCCCATTTTCGCTTTTGTTAACTTGTGAGAGAAACACACACATGGTGGTGCATTTTGGGTCTTCCCACCAACTTCTGCCGCGAAAACCACGTACCTTCTTCCTCTTGCAGCTTTGAGCTTTTTCCCTCTCGCTGTTTCTTGTTTTTTATGTGAACTTTCGTAGCTTGCCATTTCGCTGTTCACACAGTAATCTCACAGTTTCTTCATTCATACAAATTTGTTGTGCATTAGCAACATTTTTTGGGGAAGAAGAAGCTAAAATGCCTCCCCGGTATTTTCCGCTTCGTTGGGAGAGCACTGGAGATCAATGGTGGTACGCGTCGCCGATTGATTGGGCAGCGGCGAACGGTCTCTACGATCTGGTAGCGGAGCTTCTCCACCTGGACACCAATTTGCTCATTAAGCTCACCTCACTTCGTCGAATCCGCCGCCTCGAAACCGTTTGGGACGACGAATCTCAATTCGAAGATGTCGCTAAATGTCGGTGTCACGTCGCGAGGAATCTTCTTCGCGAATGCGAAACGGGGAAGGGACATAACTCTCTTATTCGTGCTGGTTATGGTGGGTGGTTGCTTTACACTGCTGCGTCTGCCGGAGATGTGGGTTTTGTTCAGGAATTGTTAAGGAGAGACCCATTTCTGGTGTTCGGAGAAGGAGAGTACGGAGTCACTGATATACTGTATGCTGCCGCTAGAAGCAAGAACTGTGAGGTCTTCAAGATTCTTCTTGACTCTGCACTTTCTACTAGAGATTGCAGTGTCACTGAAGCAGACTTGGATGAGAATGGTAGGATTTTCAAGAGGGACATGATGAATAGGGCCATTCATGCTGCAGCGAGAGGAGGGAATTGGGAGATATTGAAGCAGCTTCTTGGAAGTGACTCTGACATTTTAGCTCTTAGAGATTCACAAGGATCCACAGTTTTGCACGCAGCAGCTGGTAGAGGGCAAGTTGAGGTGAGGAAGTTTACTTTTTGTGTATTATGTTGCAGTATATGTTGAGTCCTACTTGTTCTTTTCATTTCATTCTGATGCGTGAAACTGGAATGATTAGTGATCTATCTTAAAATTTTTGGTTTCTCAGTAGATTTAAGAAATTTGCAGTCCTTGAAAACTTGATGAAATTTATGTACCCTGACATAATTTTTTCTCATTTGCCTTTTGAGGACTAACAACTTTAATTATCAGGAGAGAATATATTGAACGATCAGACAAAAATTAAAGGGCTAATAAATTTAAACCTACTTAGCATGCTAACCCCAAGAATTATGGCAATGAGAGCTTCCCAAGCAGAATGAGATGAGTAAAACGCAAACAGAATGAGACTATGGACCTTTTACGCGAAGCTTGTCCCCTGACTTAATCATATGACGCGTCTCAAACACTCTGTTTAAGTGGACTGAGTACCTGAAAGTTGAACCTATAGTGCTTATAACTTGCTTTATTTTAATCCCACAAGCTTTTAGTGCTTCTTCATAAATCTTTATTATGGTTATCAGAAAATAATCCACTCTACCGAAGTAGAAGGAAAGCATGAACAAGATACTCATCTCATCTAGATGCTACAGAACTTTTGTTCTCTGTGTTATTAAGCCTCATAGTTCATAATAAATCAGATTGCTCTAAGATGAGTTTGAGGTAGATATTAAGCACGCTGCTAATATCAAACATATTTGTGTGAATTACTTACACATCATGTCCTGGTGCTTTATTAACTGGCATTTCCTAGTGGCCTATATTTAAGTAGACTCCAAACCGGGTTGATGCTGGATATTCTAAACAAGAAAGGGCATCGCTTCTCATCTTCAAATTTGATAACTTTGGGACAGTGAATGCAACAGAAGTTAAATTTGTGCAGATTCACTGAATGCAACAAAAAGCTTTCACTTATTCTGACCATTCTAGCGGTGCAGGTGGTGAAAAATCTACTAGAATCATCAGAGATTATCACCTCAACTGATGTACAAGGGAACACAGCCTTACACGTGGCTTCTTACAGGGGTTACTTGCCTGTGGTAGAGATCTTGATTCTTGCGTCTCCCGAATCAGAAGTGTTAACCAATCACTATGGAGACACTTTTCTTCACATGGCAGTGGCTGGTTTCAGAAGTCCAGGTTTCCAAAGACTGGACAAGCACACAGAGCTAATGAAGCAAGTTGTTAGTGGGAAGATGGTGAACATAAAGGACATCATCAATGTCAGGAACAATGAAGGAAGAACAGCTCTTCATGTAGCTGTCATTGATAACATCCAATGTGATGTAGTGGAAATGTTAATGTCTGTCCCGTCCATTGATTTGAACATTCGTGATGCTGATGGCATGACTCCCCTGGATCTTCTGAAACGAAGACCTCGATCAGCATCCTCTGAGATTTTGATCAAGCAAATGATTTCAGCTGGAGGAATATCTAGTTATCCTGATTATTTGGCTAGAAATGTACTTCGTTCCCATCTGAAATCCCACAGCATTGGAAGGAGTCCTGGGACTTCTTTTAGAATCCCAGATGCAGAGATATTTCTCTACACCGGGGTCGATAATGCATCATCAGAAATCAACTATGATCAAGCAAGTGTAAAATCTAATTCCTATTCTGGTGAACTCAGCACTAGTGGGTCAGCCAACTCCCCGTATGACAAGTCTGGTTCTGTTAAGTTCACTCCAAGGCGCCTAAAGTTTTTTCTGCGGTGGCCTAAAAAGAAAGATAGAGAAGCCGGTGCCTCAAAGCTGGAAGATGAAGAAGATACTTTTTCATTATATTCTTTCAGTTCAAGGAAAAACATGGAAAACATCCCAATTCCATTACGGCAAAGATACTTAAATTTCTGTTCTCTTCCAAACAACAAAAGAACACTATCTGTCAGGACTTATTTCCCAAGTCCATCCACCAAAGAGAAATTTACTGCAGGCCTAACACAAGGCGTAATCCAGGTAAACCCATTTCTGGAACTTCCCGATCCTTTTCTCAAATCATCTGTGGCTTCAGTTACTTCCATTGATGAGCAAAGAGATGTTAATATCATGGGACCCTCTTGCTCCAATCGATCCATAGATGAAGGTACACTAAAACCCAACCATAGACAGGGTTCGTTCAGAAAGAGATTGATGAATAAATATCTATCTTTTGGAGCACAAGGCCTGGGCATGGAAGATTCAAATAGCTGCACAATTTCATCCCGTAGTTATAATCGTTTCAGTTTTTTAGTTGCTTAAATGTTAATATACTAGTGCCAACACTATAGTGGATTGTCTCTTAGCTAATGCTTGCTTGTTTGTGTCAGTTCATATAAAATATGTACCCTAATATTGTTGTTTGTATCATCTTCTGGTTTGTTATTTATTGGTTTAGTTTTTCTAGCTTACCCAGAAACAGTCCACCTGAAATTTCCTCTTGTATAATTGAAAAGCCAAGTAATCTGGATTCTCTACTCTTCTTCGTTCTCTATCATGCTTTCTGGTATTTAATTAGTTGTCCAAATCAAATCTTTATGCTCTCTAGATTAAACGTCTGGTAATTAACTGAGATTTAGTTCTGATTTCTTCAAACTACATGTAATTAGTTAATTTTGATAATTCTATATAATAAATATTACCAATTATTTTATAGTTAAGAGTTGTCAAGTACTAAACAAGATAGTTTTTCTTGGATTCAAATTGGATGTTTTGTTTAAGAGAGTACTTTTAATGAACTTAGCGATTTTATGGTAAAGCCTTCCCCCCTCTTTCCCATCAAGTGAAATGAAATCAGCCATTTAATTTCATGGCAAAATAATTTTTTTCTTTCAAGTGACCTGAAATCAGTGATTTTATTTCTAGGTAGTTGAAGGATAAATTCCGAAAGAGGAGAGATAGTGAAATGTAATAAAGTCATTACATTTGGTTGGGATTTAAACAGGATCTAATTAGTATTAAAGAATTAGATTTGAATAATCCCATGAATTGATGGCATTATTAATTTGGCCATGTCATATGAGAGTTTCTCTATTACTCTTAATAGATAGGGATGCTAATACGGTTCAATCCCACAATTGAACCCATATGGGTTGGGTTAAAAAAGCTTGTTTGAAAGTGAGTGTTCCAAGACCCATCAACAATTATTTAATTTTTTAAATAATTTTTTATTTTGAAATATTCTTTTCCTTATACAATATCCAAAAAAATATAATAAGATTTTTTTATTGAAATATTTGATTGAAAACACCAAATAAATTATATAGGTATTTTTTTTAATTTTTTAGTGAGGATATAATATATAATAATTAAAAATTTTTTAAAAATGTGGGTTAACCCACGGGTTGGCCGGCTAACATGCGACGGGTTGTGATCCTGGCAGTGCAGGATAAAAAGGCTTATTTACTTATGGGTTGGTTTTGTAATTTTTGGTGGGTTGGCAGGTTAGACCTACAAATTCATCTCATATTATTAGCTCTATTAACAGAGGGATGGATTTCATGAATTGAATTTTCAACATACATTTTTCTCTGGTTCTATTGTTGAGGTTGATGCTAAACAAGCTGATTATAAGCTTTATAATGATGATTGTTCATTGTCAAAAATTAAAACACCTATTATCCCTACACATTTAATATATTATATAATTTTAGAAGAATATTCATCCTTAACTAGCAATCAATCTCTTAGCCGTTTTCTTACTCTCTAAAAGTTACTAGTGAAAATTAACATTGTTATATACCATTCTATTTCTGTTTATAAGTCATTTGTAGAGAAAAATTTGTTCCTAAATATAAGTCACATGTAGGGTAATTAGTGAGCAGCAGCAGCAACAAGCTTTATCCTACTAGGTGGAGTCAGCTATGTGGATACATGACGTAATTGTACTCTATCAACAACCAAGTCATTAGATATATGGTTGACCTGAAGGTCTCATTCAATGACCTTAATAAGCGTTCTCATTGGTCTTTCTCTACCTCTTTTTATATGACTTCAAACTCTTTGATCTATCCTTTCTCATCAATGCCTCCAGTAGCCTTCTCTGCACTTGCTAAACCACCTCAAACGATGTTCAACCATTTTCTCTTCGATAGGTGCCATACTTACTCTTATTCTTATATTTTCATTTTGAATTTTATCTTTTCTTGTATGACCACACATTTATCTCAATATCCTTATTTCTCTACCTAAACTTTAAGCTCTTGTTTTCCTTTTAGAGCCTAACATTCACTATTATACAACATAGTTAGTCTTATAACAGTTTGATAGAATTTTTTCTTAAACTTCTTAGGTACCTTCTTATTACAAATAACTTTGGTAGCATTCATCCACTTTAACCACTCTGCTTGTATTCTATAAGAAATATCTCCATCAATTTCACCATCCTCATATATAATGAATCCTAAGTATTTAAAGTTTGGCACTTGAGGAATGATTTGATCTCCCATCTTCACCTACAAATCACCATTGACTTGTCTCTCCCCAAACTTGCAATGCATATATTCTATTTTGCACATGCTCAAATGAAAACCTTTTGATTCTAAGGTACTTCTCTATAACTCTAATCTAGGGTTAATCTCTTCTCTTGATTTAGCCATAAGAACTATGTCATCTGCAAAAAAAATGCATCTGGGGATTTCTTCTTGAATAAGCTTAGTTAGAATGTCTAAAATAATATTAAACAAGTAAGGGCTCAACGAAGATCCCTAGTGTAGGCCAATCTTATTAGAAAAATCCTTTGTTTCACGTCTATGCATTCTTACATTAGTAGTTATCCCCTTATACATATCTTGTATGGCTTTGATATATACAACTCGCACACCTTTTTTTCCAAAGCTTTTTAAAGTACTTTTCCTAGCATATGATCATAAGTTTTTTTTCCAAATCAATAAAAACCATATATAAATCCTTTCCTTTACTCATATACCTTTCTATTAACCTTTTTAGTAAATAAATCATTCCTATTATGGACCTCCTGACATAAGTCCCAATTGGTTCTCAAAAATGGAATTTTCCAACATCAACCTATGTTCAATCACTTCTTCCCACAACGTTATCACATGGCTCATAAGTTTTATCCCTCTATAGCTTATATGGTTTTGAATATCTCCTTTATTATTGTAAATGGGAACCAAAATGCTTTACCTCCATTCATCCGGCGTAGTCTTAGAGCATAAAATTTTATTAAAAATTTTGGTTAGCCACAATTCACCCTCATCGCCTACACATTTCCAAAGTTCAATGACTTTACTAGTGTCTATTTTCTCAAGAGCTACATTAACCTCTACGATGAGGATTTTGCGGTAAAAAACTAAATTCTGATCCTCTTCACTAATTAGCAAGTCATCCAAGTCCTGAGTCACAGATTTGCTTCACTTATTGAATAGTTTGTAAAAGTAAGCCTCTCATCTATCCTTGATATTAGATATGATTAGTTTTAATGATGATAAATGTTTTTGGTTTACGAGTTCTTTATTACTTTTCTTGAAATATGTTTTCAAGTTTTGTTGAAGTAGTTTTTGAAGAGTTTTGGTTTGTCGAGTTCCTTGCCAAGAAAGTGGTTTATTGATAAACTTCTCAACAATTTTAGTTAATGATTTCAAACTCATGCTTTCATGATTTCTTTATTGAGTTCTTACTTGAAAAGGATTTTAATTCTCAAGTTTTCCTTCTCTAGAACCTTTTTGAGTTTGCAGGACCAACCTAAAACGTTCAAGCTTACATTTCTCAAAAGCATTATTGAGAAATTTATTTCTCGATAACATTATCGAGAAACTTATTTCTCTATAAAGTAATCGAGTCTTAGATCTTTCTGTCTAGAACTTTCTTTCTAATTTTTGATCAACTTCTCAAAAAATATGTTTTTAGCATATCAGTGGTTCTCGATAAACTTATTGAGAAATCTATTTATTGTATATGACTTCCAATTTTGCAATCTCAGTTCTTAACTTAGTGAAAGATTCTTTCTCTCGTTTCTCAAGAAACTTATCAATAATCTCACTTCATGATAACCTTATGAGTTGTCTTCTTCTCGATTAAGAACTTGAGTAATAGCTGTTTTGTTTTAAACTTATTATGTTCTCAAGAACATCTTTCTAATGTTTATCTTATGCTTTGACTAACTACTATATTTAATGAGAATATCTCGTGTAGATTGGTCAAGTAAAGAAATAAGGTATCATATTAAATTGTGCCATGTTGAATGATCAAGAAGAAGAAGAAATGAAAGAGCTTAACTAAGGAGTGTCACCTCGAGTAAAGCTTGCCGAGAATAGAAAAGTCAAAATCAAGTCATCTGAGCAACATTACTTGATAAAGTAATCGAGTAATATCTAATTCGACAAATCTTTTGAGTAAAAGCATGGACAATGGAAAGAAGAACTTACAAAATTGACTGGAAATATCAAGATTCAAGTTCTTAGATTTGAGATGGAAGGTTACTATACTCAACACGAAGTTGGAGTGACTCAATTGGAAGTTAAAGTAGCTCAATTGGAAGTTATATCATCACATCTTGAATCACTCTTCATCAAAACCTAAATATAATCTTCAGAGATGATTTTTACATGGTTTTCTCGAGTTTATTTTTGAGTTCCATGTTTCTCCAATAGTTTATTAAGAAATCACATGCTATATTATGCTCTCTTCTTCATTTAGCTCTGGTACATGTTCGGTATTTCTTAAAACTCCTAAACTACAAATTTGTTCAAGGTGAAACTTAATTCATATGAAAGTAGACTCAGAATATGGTTCTTGGACACCTAGATCAACTCCAATAAGTTTCATATAAAGGAGATATGCTGCTCAAAATATGATACTAAGGTTTCACACCTTGTTCTTGACCTTCAATCACAATGATAAAGATAACTTTGAAATTACAATGAATTTTGGAGTGGACCTACTCCGTTTGAAAGTACACTTGAAGAGCTTTCTGTTGATAAGTCATTTGCCAAATTTGGAGTTGAATTGGATGATTTACGATCACTTAAAGTTGACCTTCATTCTAATTGCATCAGAGTTCAAATGTCTAAGACTAGAAGTTCTATGTTCTACTTTATACTCAAACAAGTTATCAAGTTAAGGCATAATTGAGTCAGTTATAGAGTAAAAGTAAGAGAAACCGGTGATATCTCTCTAAACTCATATGCTTACTTACATAAGTATTCGAGTTAAAGATAACTTCTTCATACTCTATTTTTCTAATGGATTCAAAATTAAGTCTAAATCTTTTGTTACTCCATCTAAATATGTTTGCTACTTATGAAAATAATCTGAGATCATCTAACAACATGTTTAGCAAGTGATTAAGTAGGGAGTAAGCCACAACAGGTTGATGAAGTTGCTAATAAACTTTTTGTTAAAAGCTTCGAATGGCTAGTTTCAATGGTCATATTCTTCAAATCAAATGGGAAGAAGATGCTCAATGGTTAAATGTCTAATATCAACCATAAGTATAAAGAGCATTCAAAGTCATTGAAATAAAAAGAACCTAAG